CACACACACACACACAGTTAAGAGAATGGGAAGGGAAAAGGAGAAGAGGAGCTGGGGATGAGGAGCGTAGAGCCTCTTCTAAGGAGTTTTGCAATCTACAGGCAGCAGAGAATGGGGCAGGAGCTGGAGGGGCTGTGAGTCAGGAGCGTTTTGTTGGCTTTTTGTTCAGATGTGAAAATTGTACCATGTTTCCACGCTGATGGGACCAACCCAGCAGAGAGGGCTATGTGAGTGATGCAAGGGAGAGAGGGGGAAAATTTCTGGGGAGACTTCCCCAGCCTCAAACCGACAGAAGTTGTCCTCTTTGAGGGTGACTACAGGGGAACTGGGGATGGCGCCAGGCTAGGCACAGGACACCTGGTTCTTGATCTGCTAGATCTGCCCCTTACCACTCAGGGGTCCTGACGTGGAAGGCCATTCCTGTAATAACAGCCCTGCCTCTCTCCCCACACCGTGGTAGAGTTGAGATCCAATGAAGTAATTCCAACAGGTGTGAAAGTGTTTTGCAGAATGTAGTGGGTGGAACAGGTGGCTGGGAATATTTTTATTCATCGAAGAACATTAGGGATTATTAAACAGATTGAAGGGCTTTCTATTCAAACAAGCCTGACTTGTATGTACAGCCTCCCCACACAGCTCCCACACTTGTGTGTGACCCCATCCACCTGAAGCCAAGTATAGACCTCAGCCCTCCACGGATGCTCCTCCTCCTCCAATTCCACCATTCCCACCTCCACTGGTCTGACCTCCCACCTCTCCTGTCCTTGGCAAATACTGTCTTTTTTTTTTTTTTAGACAGGTTCTTACTAGCTATGTAGTTCAGGCTGGCCTCAAACTCACTATGTAGCCTATGCTGACCTTGAACTTGGACAATCCTCCTCCCTCAGCATCCTGAGTGCTGGGACAACAGGCATGTGCCACCATGCCCGGCAAATGCTGCCTTCTGAGGCCTCCAGATGCTGCTACCCAGGCTTGCTGTCTTGTATGCTGCCACCCTCTTCTTTCTTTCCTCAAAGCCCCATTTCCCACCCATCGTTTTCAAGTACACTTTTATTTAAAGGGGATGGTCTGGAGGTGAGAACACTGGTCCAGGACCCAGGAGAAGTGAGTGTCTTAGAGTGACCAAGCATCCCAGTTTGCTTGGGATTTTCGGGTTCACCAAGAAGTGGGACTTTCAGTGCTGAAACTGAGAATGTCCCAAGTAGACTGGGGCAAGCTGCCACCTTATTCTTGACCAAGCCCACACCTAGGTGATTTGTCATTATCTTGCCAGGAGGCCTTGGACCCATCAGCTAACTACTCTGGAGTTAGTAAGGGAGAATGTTCTTCACTGTTTTCACTGGCAGTGGGTGTTTACTTTGGCTGCCTCTCCATGAAGACCTCACCACTTCTTGCCTACATGGCTGTATCCTGGGGCACCATCTGACTAGGAGTCTGGAGCTCATCTGAGCAGGGTTAAGCTCCTCTGGCAGAAGTTTGTCCCTGGTCACCTCTGTCTCCTGGGCATCTGCTTCCAAGCACTCCGCACCTAGCCTCTGTCCCTGAGTGGGACTCTGGAGCCAGACCACCCAGAGTCTCAGTTTACCCCTAGTACTTCCTAGGGTGCTGTACAACTTTGGGCATGCATTTCACATCTATGAGGTTCACTTTCCTCAACTCAACTTAGTGATAGTAAACCTTGTCTTACACACTTATGGGGGGAACGAAGCCCATGTGAACAGCTTGCTGGGAGGAAGCAAGTGCTCCATAAATATTAGCTGTTATTGTTCGCATAACCACCATCATCAACAACAACACTCAACTTGGCGAGAACAGCAAAAAACAAGCTCACTCATACAATGTCTCTCTCTTACAGGGATCTTGGACTCTCCCTAGCCCTAAGAAGCCTTCCCAGATCGCCCTAGGAAAGGAATACTAGCTTGAGTCCCGTGCAGGACACTCCCACACTCTCACACCCACCCGAGGTCCCGACCCTCTCCAGGAGGGAAGAGGTCCTCTTCCCAGCTCTGCCCCTGTGCCTGTAGTTCCCATCCTGCTGGCACCATCTTCCTGCCCCCTGCTCGGGTCAGTGGTTCTGTTTTTGACAACAGATGGAATTCCCTGAATGCCCACAGGCGTTCCAGAAGGGTTTTTGGCAAGAGGACAGTGAGGAAGACAAGAGTGGTGGAAGGGTCTAGAAGAGGATCTCAAAGCTAAGTAGGTGGCCCCCAGGGAACTGAGGCAAACTCACCAATGTAAACACACCCGCTCCTAGCACGGCATAGACTGCGTGGAGCCAGGGCACCTGCCAGACAGAGGAAAAATGGGCTCAGGCATGGTCAGAGGGTAGCGAGCAGAGGCGCTGGGAGGAGGTTCAGTCCAGAGAATGGAGGATGTGGAGTAGTCTTCCCCAGGGATCCCCAAATCCTTCATTCTCTGGGTGCTCACAGTGATGGGGTGGGGGCCCACAGGGTAATTACATAGCTGCCAACTGACCTGGTGCTTTTTTCCTGCAAGTCACAGCCCCAGGCCCAGGATGAGCGAGGAAGACTCATCCTATTGCAATCCTGTCATCCTCTCAGCCTGAGTTTGGCTCAAGGCTGTTCCTGCCTTCCAGCCTGCGGTTCATCCCTGGCTCTGCACTGGGGGGAAGGGGCTTAAGTGGTAGGGGACCAAGAGATGAACTCAGGTGTGTGTGTATGTGTGTGTGTAGGGGGTTGCCTCTGGAGGGTCTGCCAGGTATTTCTTTTCTTTTCTTTTTTTCGGAGACAGGGTCTTGCTCTGTAGTCTAGGCTAGCCTTGAACTCACTACGTCACCCAGGCTGGCCTTGAACTCGTAAGGATCCTCCTCCCTCACCCTCCTGAGTGCTGGGATTACAGGCATGTGCTACCACACCTGGCTGACAGGTTTCTATGGGCTTGTCTACCAAGGCCACGACAGTGTATTCCTGTGCTCTGCTCCCCAGACCTCAGGAGCACCCAGCTGCATTTGGAAACCCTGCACACAGGAGGTGCCATGCTAGCTCTGCCCACAGTGTGGCCCTCCCAGGAAACTTTCTAGAAGATTCCAGGAAACAAAGGCATCCCATCAACCAGACCTGGGTCAATAAAGGGTTCTTTGAAGTTTTGGGGCTCCTTCCTGGTATTCCCCTCCCCAACCTAGATACACAGAGGCCAGCTCTGGTCCCTCCCTTCGTCAACAGGATCCTGGGAAGAGCCAAGGAAATGCCAGACCCAATATTGATGTCCTGGACTAGAAGCCAAATGTCCTGAGGCTGGGGCTAGGCAGGATGGAAGTGGGTAGGGGGGAGTGAGGACTATGTCTCAGCCCTGGCAGTAAAGGCACGATGGGGGACTAGGTACCAAAAGCGGCTGGGGGCTTCTTCCTTTGGGTACCTAGGAGTCAAACCTCAAGGCCCTCCTGGGGTGCCCCTAATTCTCCCTCCCACATGTAGTGGCCTGAGGGCCTGCACAGTCCTAAGTGACATTCTCCAGGGCAGGCTGGATGCCTCCAGAATTGCTGAGTACAGCTCTATCTGGGGGATGCTCTCTGGGGGATGGGGGAGCGGTCTCCTCTGGCCCCGCCACCTTAGCCAGATTCTGCCTGTTTGGATTAGGCTGATCCCCAGGAGCCCAAGAGGCCCTCCCTGAAGGACCTTCTAGGTCTGGTGGGCCCCAGGGAGGCCCAGGCTGCTCCATATCCTCCCCTCAGCCTCCCCTCCACGGTACACAGGAGGATGGGAAAGGTGAAGCCGGATGCGGCTCCAGGAGATGGGCCAGTGCCCAGGCCTGCCAAGAAAGGCCTCCTTGTTTGCTTGCTTATAGTACTGCCAACATGCCCAGGGCAGGGGCCAGGAGGGCCTGGACAGGATGGCAGGTGGTGGGGCTTTGGCCTTGGGCCTGCCCTGAAGGTGTAGGAGGGAACAACACCCTGAAGTGGCCTCCCCCAAACCCCTATGAGCCTGCAGGTAGAGACTCACATATTGGAAGGGTAGGAGGATGGCTAGGATGAGTCCGCTGAAGAAGAGGGTCATGAGCAGCACGAAGATCACACCCTGGCAGGAGGTGAAGTCAAACTGCAGGACAAGAGGGTTGTCAGCGCTGGCCCCTGGCTTCGTGGAGCCCCTGGGCAGTGTACTAGCTGCAGGCTAAGGCTCACGGTCTTAAATTCACCCCCCAGAACCCAGGATTTCCCCCCAGCCTCCCAGGTGTCCTCCCCAGATCCAACTCACCCTGTTCCCTCCCCTTATCCCGGGCCCTGGCTTAGAGCCCCATTCCACACGCCTTCCCCTGCCCACAGGCCTCAGAGCTGACCTTTGTCTGGAAGCTGAAGACAGTGACTGAGAGGCAGACGAGGGCCGTGATGCCCAGGCACAGCAGGACAGACGTGGTGTTGTAGTAACTGAGGAGGGCGGGTAGTGTCAGCTCCCGCAGGGCCCTGCTCTCTGCCAGCCCTCCTGCCGGGTCCTGATCTGATGACCTCTGGCCTGACCCTGTTTCCTTCCTCAGGACCCTCCCTCTCTTGGTTCCCTCAGCCTTTCTCTGGGCTCGGCCCATCCTCACCCAAGCAAGCCTAGACTCACTTAGTTAGAAGGATCTTGAATAGGTGGGAGTTGGGGAAGGAAGGATTTGTGCTGGAACTTGGAGGTGGTTTACAGGTAACTGCAGGATCATAAATTTGGGGCCTTCTAAGTTGCAGCTTGAGAGGAGTCACCCTGTTTCCACCATTTCTCACCCCTACCCCACCAACCTGGCCAGGTCCTGGAGCCACTAGCCAAGGGAGGGCCCCAGAAGAGGGCTCTAGGCCAAAGTGTCCTGCTGCCTGAGGCCCCACCCTCATCCAAATGGTCCTGGGAAGGATGGGGTTTGGGGGCAGCTCCTCTCAGATACAGCCAGTCCCTGGGTGCAGGGCCCTCTTCTCCACCTGTACCCTTTACCTGGACAACATCCCAGTGAGGTAGGCCATGGACAGGGTCTGAAAGGAGAGGCAGGGTAAGGGAATGCTCCAGCACTTAGATTTGGGAGTCCCAGGCAGACGCCTCCACTCCAGGCATATACCCCTGGGCGCTGAATCTGCCTCACCCCTGCACAGGCTTCCGAACAGACACAAGGCTGGCTGAGCCGTGTTTCCCCGGCCAGTCTGCAGGTCCTGGGGACAGCTGTCTCTCTCTTAGGCAGCCCTGTTCTCCTCCCAGTAAGAGACCCACTCTTCTTCATTATCCGTAGTTCTGGGATGCCCCAGATGAACCTCCTCAGAACAAAAGCACAGTGAACAGTGGGGGCAGAGGGAGGCAGCTCAGCCCCTTTGGAAAGGGAGGGTGAAACATCCTGGTGGAACGAGGGGGTGTAAGCACCCCTGACCTCCGTGACCTCACATGAGATGTTCCCAACCCAGACTCCCCAGCCCTCGAACCCCACACTGCTTCTGTCCTTCCTCTACCCCACTCAGCATCTGCCCCCAGCCCACGGAGTCACTTACAAAGATGGTCAGCAGGATCAGGTTCCAGGGGAAGTGCCTCCTGTAAGGAAAGCCAAGGAGTTCCGAGCAGAGTTGCCACTGCGAGCAGGAGTCTCCGCACCCCCTTCCACACTCCTCAGAGCCTCTTCCTTCAGCCACCCCCCCACGCCCCATCTGTCCATCTGCCCTCCCCCTACCTCAGAAGTGCCAAGGAGGGAGGGAGGGACAGGTCTGCTTGGCAGGGGGATGGTAGCTCTCAGGGGTGCCGAGCACAGGGGTGGCAGGCAGGGCTGGGGCCGGGACCTTCAAGGTCCTGCGTCTACTTTCACACGTTATTTCTTTTGCCATTATCATACCTGGGTCCAGAACAGCAAGCCAGGGTCAGGTAGGTGGCAAAGAACACAGCACTGTGAGAGACAGGTGAATGGGTAAGTCAGCAAGGCCCTCCTAAGGTCCCCCACCTGGTGTCTTGCTCTTCCTATTCTCTGCCACCACGGTCCATAGGTGCCATGAAGGGTGGGGAGCAGGGAGAGTTCCACGGTCATCCTAGAACCTGGCAAGGGGCAGGGTGGTGGACCAGTTCCAGGAGAGAAAGGGGGATAGGTCAAGTCTGCTTCTAGTACTACTGAATCTTGGGTGCCTTGAGATAGCTGTTCCTGACCAGCCAACCCACAGTGGCCTTCCAGTCATTACTGTGTTATGTAAAAAGCTCATCTACAGTATTTCCTACGGTAGTTGCTCGGCAGAGTTTTAAAAGTGCTTTACAAATATTAACCAATGCGATCCTCATATCTTCTCCATAAGTACGCTCTTTACTTTTCTGCTGAGGCACAAGGTCATGCTTGTATGTTCTTCAGGTTCCTGCTAGTCCAAGTTCATGTAGTTACCACATTGCAGAAACACGATGGGAACCCAGGTATTCTGGCCCCAGGGAGCTCACTTGCAACCTCGAGCCTGCACTGCCTATCAGCCCTGTCACCCCTGCAATGATCTCCTTAGTTATTGTTTAATCTATCCCACAGGCTGTAGCTCAGCCTGGGCAAGGCCTGTGGCTGTCCTGCATGGGCAGGAAGTGACAACTGTGAATGAGTTTCTGGATCAGAAGGACACACCCAGTGGGAGGCAGAAGGGAGCTCAGGGGCAATCAATCCTGAGACAATGACTGAGCACGGAGTGTTTTCTGGAGTGCAGTGGAGGCAGAGGCTGGTCCAATGATGGAGAGGAGGGGTTCGGACCTGAGCACGGGGTGCTGGGTCCCTCCACCTCTGCAGGGTCTCATCATGGCATGGCCATCTCTTCCTCATCTCTTCCTCTGTCCTCTCACCTACCCCCGATGGCAGCAATTCCAAACTTCCTCCTCCTCCTCTGCAGACCTCCGTCTGCAGCACCATCTGCCTGATACATCCCATCAAGATCTGCGATAACGAGATGGGGCTCCCCGGGTTCCCTGCCTGCCACCTGCAAACCTCACAGGTGCTATGGACGGTCCTGTCTCTCCTCCTACCCAGCCTGGGCTCTTCTGGTCTCATCCCCTTTAATCTTCCTGTTGGCCTCGCTCCTCCCACAGAAACCTCCTCAACTATTCTCCATCTTCATCCAACATCTTCTCCAAGTCTAGCTATGGCCACTCTGTCTGCTCTTGCAACCAAACTTTGAGAACACATGGTCTCCACTGAGGGTACTCTTTTCTCCATCTCCCCAAACCTGCAAACCCTGCCTTAGCCTCACTTAGGAGAGCTGGCTTTGCCACATCAGGGTGGCCTCACTGTGTGCAGATGACACTCACTTCTCAACGTCTGGTCATTCTTTTTCCCCGGGTTCCACAAAGACATATGGATCCCTCCTTCTTCCCTGGGCACTCTTTTCGGCACCAGGGAGTCTCTGAATATGCCTGGTCCCTCGGACAGAGGTCTTCTCCCTTCACATCCCCCCGGGTGGGCTTACTTGTGCACAGGACTCACATCCCACACTTCCTATCTATGTTTTCCTTCTCCACCCCAGACTGGAGCATCCAGCTGCCTACTGGGCAGATGTGGCTCTTCAGAAACACATCCTTTCGGCTCCTTCTCCTGCATCCCTGGCTGCAGGGGCCACCATGCACCCGCCCAGTCACCTCCCAGAAGCCTCAGCATCATCACTGACTCCCACCCCGCCACGCCCAATTAATCACCTGGATCTGTTTATCCTCCTACTCAGGCAGCTCTCAAAACTGCGCTCTTCCATCCCCACCACCATCCTTTGAGGTCTGGCCACCTCTCTTTTCTCTCTGGCTGGTCTGAGGCAGGAGTCCATCTGGTCCTCCTGCCTCCAGCCTCGCCTTCTACCTCCCAAGCTACAGCCACACCCAGCCACGGGACTCTTCTGTATAAAATTCCCCAAGACCTGGTGACACCAGCCCGCTCCAACCCTCCCACCTCTCCGGCCTGCTGTCACCACACTCCACCCTCCCCTCTGCCCTTCCCACCACAGTCGCTCTGCACCCTCCCAACCTACTCACCACACTTTGCTCCTACTGGAAAACCGACCAGCAGGGATGTCTGAGGCTCCCTCTTCCAGATGGCTTCCTCCATGCACCCGGGGTAACCTCACTGGAGCCTGCGTTCCCCCGCCCCCATGGGCCAGTTTGTCTGACTTCCCACCCAGAGGTAGCATCTGGGGTGAGGGGGTAGCCTACAGTTTATTCATTTTGTATTCTCATCATGTAACCTGAAGCCTGGTACCTGGTAGGTACTTTTTTTTTTGTACCAGGGATCAAACTCGGGACCTTGGGCGAGCGAGGCAGGTGCCGGAACCATTGAGTTAATCCCCACCCCTGGTAGGTACTCTTTTCATATTATTGGATGAAATGAAAAAGAAAAAGCAAACAAAAAAATAAGCAAGGCAAGGATTGACACAGCCTATGAGATTCGGGACTGGGACCCCTCTAGGTTGATCCTTTCTGGACAGGGTCTTGCTGTGCAGTTTTGGCCTCCTGCCTCAGCATCCTAAGTGCTGGGATTACAGCCATGCACCACGACACCTGGCTCTCTTTCCAATTCTTCAGAGGTTCTCACATATGTAGAGCTGTTGAAGGGTTCTGCTGGTAGCTGAGGCCAGGAGCCAGAGCTGCTGAGCATTCTGCTCCTGCAGGACAGCAGAACTGTCCTGCCCCAGTTGAGAAACATTCTAGCAGCTACTCTTTCGGTCTCACTTGAGTCATGGCCAGTCACCTGGACAACAATGATAACAACGGTGCCCTCTCTATGTGTATACTTGGTGTGGGTCCTGTCACCTGACCAGACTGGAAGCTTCACAAGGGCAGGGGCCCCACCTCATTTTCTCTCTGGCCCTAGCTCATCAAGACAAGGCATCAGGAGGAAGTCAGAGGGACAGGGACCCAGGACCAGGGACTATGGTGCAGCTGTGGAGGATGGTGCCAGCACTCATGTCCTAGGCCTGCCACTACCGCTGTAATTTTGCATGAGTTACTTAATAGCCAAGTCTCAGTTCCCTCCTTTGTAAAACAGGAATTGTGGTACCAACCCACTGGGCTGCTTGAAGCTAGATGAGAGAATGCAGGTGATGTACTCAGTTACCATGGGCTGGGCTTGGTGTGGGGCTTGGGCTCCTCTTCCACAGGAGCTGCTATTATTGCAATTACAAGCTGGCTGACCGACAGACAACCCATCTCCTGCCCGCCTCTGCCCCACCCCCCCGACTGTGGCTGTGCCTCAGACACCCTGGCTCAGTGGGAGCAATCAGACAATAAGGCAACAACCTGTGGAGGGAGCCAGGAAGCCAACTGGGACCTTGAGAAAGCTGAAGCGAAGGGGCAGGGAGGCTGGCATCTCTGGGACCGAGAATGAGTTAGAGGAGGGTGAGAGAACAGCTGATGTGCACCTCAGAGCTGGAGCCCCAAAGCCTAGGATGACCTGTTCAGAGTGTCAGGACAGGGAGAAGGCTCAGGTGAAGGTCAGTGACCAAACCCAATGCCCTTCTTCAACTTGTCCTGCTCAGGACCCAAATGACACCTGTGGGCAGCAAAGCACAGGGCTTTTGCTACCAGAAGGATCTGGGTTGTATCTTGGCTGTGCTGCTAAGGAAGTGATAGCTTCTCTCAGCCTCAGTTTCCTCATCTGTAGAATGGGGATAATAATAGTACCCACTTGGCAGGGTTGCTGAAAGGACCTGAAAAAGATATGTAAAGCACCTAGCAGAGTGCCTCAAGCATAGAAAAAGAGCAGTTTTATTCTCATTGCTATTATTGTCTTTCTAAAAGATAGAATCAGGTGGAAGCTCTCTGAGAGCGTTTGGTGGTCAGAAGAGGTGAGACTCACTCAGACCCTGAGGGAAGCAGACTCAGGCAGGATGGGGAGAGTGGAGGAGCAAAGAGAGGACAGGGCAAAACCCTAGGCGAGCTTTCTGGAGGAAAAGGTCAGCATCCTAAAGCAACATTCCACTCCTAGTTCTGACTTTTCTCCATCTGCACCTATCCTAAAGGCACACAATACAACTCACATTTTGTTTTCAGCCTGGAGCTGGTGAGGAGGTGGGCTCTAAATCTCCCCATTCAGAGCCAGTTTCTCCCAGCCTCCCTGCCTCCCACAGCACATACAACTGAGTGTGCTCTGCCCCACTTCTGGACTGTCCCCCTGCAACCATGAGGTCAGGGCATGGAATCCCACAGTCCCTTGCACAAGGCCCAAAGAGGGGCCTGTGGACTCCATCCCTGAGTTCTCAGGGGGCCTGAGGCTGCCAGGCAATGGTGACGTGCTGGGAGCCATGCCAACCCGCCAGGTGGCCTGGCCGGGGTGGTAGTCCCTGGGGCCTCATTAGGTTTACCATATAGTGCCAACCAGCTCCCTAGACACGTGCCTCTGCCAGGTCTGCAGACAGGGCCTCTGTCCCATGCCCTAGGAGAGGTCCTGGGTGTGCAACTCTCTTCTCCTGGACCCCAGCTTGAAGAGGCAGCTCTGTGCCTCGAATGAGCCCCAGAGGCCAGGAAGAGTCTTCTTTCTGTCAGTGTTTGACTGGCTTGTGCTATCTCTGGGCCCAACTCTGAGTGCTCGGGGCTCAGGGAAGTCCCCAGGGGCTTTGGGCTGAGTCCAGTCTCCACCAGACCCCTATCTGGGAGCCCGCCTGGAACAACCACTGTGTGCAAGCTCCTCAGCTGGTGGTCACAGCTCGACCATCTACCCTCTGAGACGTCCTCCCAGCCCTCTGCCAGTCCCTCCCCAGTCTATCAAATGGATCACATGCATTCTCACTCCCACACTTTTGCTTAAAGCCATTTCTCTGCTGGCAGTGATGTCCCAGTCCTCTTGGCCCATCCTCTGAGGTACGCCCCTCTGTGGGCTGCGTGCCCTGTGCCTGAGCTCACGCCTTCCCCTCCCCTGAATGATGCATCTTTGCTTGCTGCTCACTCCCCTGTCCGGCAGAGGCTGACTCCCCAGGAGCCACGGTATAGTGCTGAGCTAGCAGTGGATACTGAGGGAGCCCATGGGAAGAGCAGTTCGTCTCTGAGCCCCAGAGTGGTTCTGGGCTGGAATTATCCAGAATTACTCTTTAGTTCCCCAGACAGGAGGATCAGAATCACCCACCTGCAACTTTAAACCTCTTCTCCCAAGTTGCCTGCCTTAATCCCTAAAGTGATAGGACCAGCCAGAGCCAAGTGGCTTGAGGCTGAAGGGAGACTGCCAAGCAGAGGGATTAAGAGCACAAGCCTTAACCTGAATCCTGGGTTTGAATCCCAGTTGCTCCACTGACTAGCTGTGTGACCTTGGGCAAATTACTCAAGTTCTCAGAGCCTTAGTTTTGTGAAGTAATCATACCAGTAGATATTGGGATCCAGTGCAACATTGTACATCAAGCACAAAGAATAATGCCCAGCCCTTATTAGGGACTCTTTAAGTGGTGGCTATTATGATTAATAATTTCATAAGCATTAATAACAATGGTGATAATAAGAGTAGCAACATTATCATTAGTGTGGGTCAAAGTGTTCCAGCCCCCTCCCCCTTAGGGCCAAGGGACAGGGTCTCTCCAGCCATGGCGTCAGCCCCACCCCTCCCAACTTGCGTAGGAGCCAGAACCTACCCCCATCTCCCATCTGTCCCATCAGAGAGCAACAGCCCAGAAAGGCTCTTGCTCTTCTCTGACGCCAGCAGAACAGGGCAGGGCTGGGGATCTGTGAGGTCAGTCCCCATGGGGTGTGGAGAAGCTCTGGGTTTGGCTCTGTCAGTGGAACAGACTCCCTCTGCCTCCCACTGGGCTTCCTCTGGGATGTAAGGGTGGGGTATACTCACTAGGATGCCCAGTACCAGCCTGGATTGGCCTGGACATAGCCCTTCACGGGGTCACTGCAGAGAAGGCAGAGACAGAGAGTCAGAATTTACCCTAGGTCTCCGTTTCTGGTTCAACATCTGTACCTGCCCAGCACAATTCATAGTGCTAGCTCCAGTCCCAGGCTGAGACCTGGGGTGGCCTGGGGGTATGGGTGGTAGACTAGATTATAAGACTTTTTTTTTTGGAACTGGGGATCAAACTCAGGACCTTGGGCTTGCCAGGTAGGTGCAGCGCCACTGAGCTAAATCCCAAGCCCCTTGGTAGACTAGAAAGCAAAGACTGTGTACGAGGCACTGACAGGCCCAGAAGACAGCCAGGTCCACCCTCCTCTGAATAGGGATGCCTCCCACGCTCAGCCTTCCCGAATGGTGGAAGTGCACCACCATGCCCAGCATCACTCCTGGCCTGCGTTATGCACTCTTACGGTTCTTCTCCAACGCAAGGAGAAGTGCTCCTCCCCATCTCTCCAGGGGACCTGGCTATGGCCACCCCTGGAAGGTGCCAGTCTGTATCACCAACTCACCAGAAGGTAAAGAGAGCCACGACACTCAAGGTCACCAGCAGCTGGATCAGCAGGATGGTGTAGACCTGGTAAGAGAGGCCAGGTGGGCTCAGTCTCCCAGCAGGGCTCAGTGAGACCCCAGTTCTCAGGAACTCATTCAAATCTTCAGACCTGCTTCCTGGGTGCTCCACCCTCCTTAGGGAACAATGGAAATAACCCAGGACAAATGGAGAGCAAGGGAGCCCCAGAGCAAGAGCCGTGGGAGGAGCAGCCACATGGTACCCAGAGGAGAGTGCACTGGGCCCTAGTGAAACCTATGAAACACTTCCCCGTAGCTAGGGTCACAAGAGAAGAGGACAATGGCAGGCAGAGGCAGGACAGGGGGCTTTTTGAAGGGCTTCTCATCGAGCTCCCAGGGCTGGAGAGTCTTGGAGAGCCAGAGAGAAGCAATTACCTTTCTGATGAAAACCCGGCGAACTTTCTGGTCATCCCAACTGTAGGTGGTGAAAAGCTCATGGTGTCCGGTGGGGAAACTGTTGTCATAGCCAGAGCTGCTGCCTGGGTGGGCAGGTGGGAGGTGTGAGGGCTCCTCATGCAGAGAAATATGCCTCAAGGGCTCCTGCCCAGAGCTGCCTTTTGGTCAAGCTGCCTCTTTGACCCACTGAAGTCTTCCTCTCCGACCCACTGAAGTCTTCCTCTCCAGCCCCGTTACAAAATACCCCAGACCACCCCCAGGTCTCTCTCCCTGGTCACTTCTTGCTTTTCTTGCTCTGGGTCCTGGGAATGAACTATCATTTCCCTTTCCTTTCCCTCTACCCTGGCTGGAGCTCTTGGGGGTCAAATGTGGCCCTTCCATCTTGGGTCCCCATCCTCCTCCCAAACACTCTGGCTCCCTTGTGGCTAATAATCAGGAGAGGACAACCTTTCTCCAGGTCACTTGGTACATCCCAGGGCCAATGGTCCTGACCCTGGCTTGGGCTGAGGCCCTTGGGGTGGGAGTTGGAGACGGGCTGCATGTGCTAGAGCCTGGAAACCAGGGTCAGGTAGGGGCCTGGAGGGAAAATAAAGCCAGGGCAAGGGCAGGAGGTGGGGTGGGGATGAAGGTTCAGAGCCTGGTCCCAGAACTCAGACTTTTGGAAGAGTATTGACTCCACAAACAGATCCTACAAACAAGAATCCATCCTCTGGGACGAAAGAGTGGTGTGACCTTGAGCAAGTCACCGGGCTTCTCTGATCCCAGGAATGGGATTCCCATTTCACAGGGACCATATTAGACACAAATGAAAGCCTCTGTGCTCTGTTCCTGGTGAGGACTACACTATCATCTCTTGTGCCAACCTGGTCAGGGCCATTCCCAAGTCCTCAAATGTGTCCACTCTGTTCCATTCCACTCTCCCACCAGGACTTCACAATACCCCTCCACCTCTCATCAATAGCCTCTGTTTTGGTCTTCAAAGCTAAGGACCATCCTGTACTTCGAGCTCTTCAATGGCCCTCCATTGCCTATTGCTCAAGATCAAGTTCCTTAAAACCTCCACAACCTCTGTGAACAGTCTTCCAAGCACCCTGAACATTCCTCCCTCCCACGGTTCTGGGCCTGTGTGCATTTTCTTCAGCCACACGCTCTCTTGCCTCAGGACTCCTGAACACCCTATTCTTTCAGCCTTGAACACTCATTTCTCTGCCTCCTCACTGGGTAACTCATGGCATCCATCAGGACTCAGTGTGGGTGCCCTCCCTCCAGGAAGCTCTCCCTGCCTGGCCGGGGCTTAGGTGAGCTGCCCAGGCCTCTACCATTGCAGCTGTATCACTGTGTGGCAGAGGTCCACTCACTATCCACTGGTCAGCCTGTGAGGACAGAGATCCAGGCAGGACTCTGTGGCCCCTGAAATGAGATCAGAGCCAGACACTGCCTGGCACACACTTGTAAATGTCTGTCACACGCTGACTAAAAGGAGTAGTCTTCCTGCCTCAAAAATTCCTTAAAAAACATTTCTTGAAGGAAGGTAGCCCATCCTGGCAAAGGATGTGTGAGAAATGAGAGGGGTCCTGGGCCCTGGAGACGCTTGCCCTCCATCCTTCACTTCTCCCTCAACTTCTGCCTACTTCCCTGCCAACTCCATTGGCCAGGCCACAGGGAGGGAGAGAAGAGGAGGGAAAGCAGTGCCACAGATGTTGGGCAGTGAGGAGGGGTTCCACAGACACCAGACCTGCAGGAACCTTCCAGTAGGTTACACTGGGTTGAGTGTTCCCGGCTTTAGGCTGAGGTTGAGTGGGTTTGTGGCAGGAAGTGTGGACCATAGTGACCACTCCCTGTGAACAGGGGATATGTCTGGGCATTGTCCCTGGGATCCCGTCTAGAATTCTGCAGGCAGTGGCAAAGTGGGGGAGGGGAGGCGCTGCTGAGGCACACAGAAAGGGGCTGAGCAGAATTTAAGAGGGGCCCTTTGTTTTTTGTTTGATTTTTTGAGACAGGGTCTTTTTATGTAGTTTAGGCTGACCTTGAATGCCTGGTGATCCTCCTGCCTCAGCCTCCTGAGTGCTGGGCTTATAGTCGAGCGCCACTGCACCCAGCTGAGCGAGGCCCTTCTTACAGCCTGGGAGAAGCTTTGGTTCCCAGCCCTGAGGCAAAGCTCCTACAGGCTGCTCGGCCCAGGAGTGGATCTCCCACTGGCTGGATCCTCGAAGGCCGGAGCTGGCATCTCCTGTGAGCTCCCTGCCTGTGAACGGTGCCTGGCTAACGGTGACAAGATGCTGAGGGTTGTCCCCACACACCTTCCCCACATCATGCCCTCCTCCCCACAACGAAGGCTGGGGAAAGGGCAGGGGCCAAGGAGAGTGATTGGTAAGGTGGATCCCCAGACCCCTAGGCCAAACACTCTGAGGCCTCCACAGGGACCTGTCCCTGCTTGGTACTTTTTCAGAGTAGTACAATGTGCAGTGTGTAAAAGCTGCACCCCACTCACAGGGCACAGAGCCTAGCCAAGGCTACAGCCAGCTGCAGCCTTACCCTGCCCTTTTCTGACCCACTCTGATCTCTCCCTGTGCCTCTGTGTCTCTCTCTTCCAGGAGGGCCTTTCTAGACTGGATCTTGGTTTTTGTCTCCCAGTTGTCTCCTCTACTTGTCCTACCCCAGTGACTTGGGGAAAAAAAATTCCCTCTTCCCTGTCTGAAAGCACCTTGACTACAGACATCTCATATGGAGTCATCTTTGACTTAAACTCAGAACCGTCCTCCAAATCCTAAGCTTTTGGCAGCATGGCTTCACACAACAACCACACAGTGCATCTTGTCTTTGGGCAGCTTCCTCCCATCGAGGCTTTTCATTGGAGCCCACCGTTCTCCCTGATGTCTCCGGCCTCAGGAGCTGAGAGACTTACTGGGGTCCACATAGGCCCAGCTGGGGTGCAGAGGCACAGCTGTGGGGACCGGAGGGAAAGCTCCTGCCTTTAACCCTTCTCCAGAGGTGGCTTCCTCGTAGGAGGGTGGGGCCGAGGGCACTGCCGGAGTCTCCTTCTTCTCAGCATTTGCCTGCTGCTGCCCCTCGGTCCCAGGGGCCTTGTTAGCCACAGAGAGCTGTGGAATAGAGAAAGAGAGAGAGAGATGGTCACCAGGGAAGGAGAGCCTTCCAACTCCTCCTGGCCAGCCCCTCAATTCCTGGAACCTTCTGGGTGTATTTTCGCATGGTAAGAGCAGGAGTGTAAACAAGAATGTCCCTATTTCAAGTTGGGCATGATTGTGGATGTTTATAAACCAAACACTCAGGAGGCTGAGGCAGGAGGATTGCAAGTTTGAGGCCATCCTGGGCTACAAAGTGAGAACTGTCTCAAAAACAAAACAAAGGCTGGGCATGGTGGGGGCACGCATGTAATCCCAGCACTCAGGGGAAGCTAAGGCAGGAAGATAGGAAGTTCAAGCCCCACCTGGGGAATGAGTGACTTATTGAGACCCTGTTTCAAAACAAAAAGGGCTGGAGATGTAGCTCAGGGCACAGGCCCTGGATTCAATCCTCCCTGTACTGCAAAACAAAAAATGAAACAAACAAAAAGCTCCCTATTTTATTGAGGGCAGAACTGAGCTCCAGGAGGGTCCAGGATGGCCAGGGGCATACAGTGGAGCTGGGATAAGAACTGAGGAAGGAGATGAGTCTTAGGGGTGCCCACCATCAGTGATCACTGACCATTCGGCAGGGCCTGGGTCACTACAGTCCCACTATTTCACTGGAGTCCGAAGAAGGGCCTAGCTAGCAGGCTTTAGATCTCTGTTTTAAAATGAGGGAATTAAAGATTAAAGAGGAGTAAGGACTCATCTGAGGTCTCAGGGCCACACATGAGCCCCAACAGGGCTGCAGGGCCTAGCGTGGGGAGAGATGGGTAAAAGAAAGGGAAAAGGAGAGGAAGAAAAGGGACTTTAGGGTGGAGGGAAGGAAGGAGGTCCCCTCCCAGACTCCACTCTGGCCATGTTCCACTGCAACTTCAGTTTCTCCCCCTAACTGGGGGAGCATCACAAAATATCACTGTGGAAGGGACCTCAGAAGGCATCTAGTTTGGTGCCTTTCTATGTTTAACAGATGAGGGAGTTCTAGTCCAGAGGGTGTTGCAGGTTGAGAACTCAAGTCCAGTTATACTCGGAGATGCCTCTACCCTGCCTTGCACATATATACCTTTGGCAGGAGGCCGTGTGAGTTGGAGGTCTGAATGATGAAGCCAGAGAAGGAGACAGTGGCATGGAGGGAGTGTGTGAAATCAGAGACAGCAATAAAAGGACAAGATTCAGAAAGTGGCATTTAAGTCTGTCTCCAGCAGGCCCCTGTAAAAGCTACAGAGCTGTTGAAGGGGCTGCAGGACTCCTGTGCAGGAACTCTGCTCAGGCTGTCCAGAGAGGGTGAGCACTGAAGACTTCTGGTTCCTACCAGGCCCGTGGACCATTGGACTGGATTCCTGTCCATCCCCCAGGAAGCCTGTGGGGCGAGGGGCCAATGAGGCAGGGGAGATGTTCACCCCAGGACAGCAACAGGGGCTGGTGCACTTACTGGCGGGGTGTGGTTGAAGAGGGGAAGGGGAGGCTCACACAATGGTGGAGTGGTGAAGGGGCTCTTCATTCGCACTTCACGTAACACCCCCGGGTCTTCTCAAGGAAGGGACGGGGAGCCCAGGCCTTCCATGTGTCACTTCCATTCCCAGACCCCTTCTTCAACACAGACCAAAAGAAAACTCACCTCAGCTCCAACCTGCCGTGAAGCCCTCCAGAGCCTTCTGGGCCCTACCCAGCCCCCAGACACATCCCACATTCCCAACTGACTTTTGGCCAATAGCAGAAGTGGTATCACCCAATGACATCATTTTGAAGCCCAAAGAGCTTAAAAACAGGGAGAGGAGGGTCTGAGGGCCCAGCAGGGATGTCATTGGCTCTGATACCGTCTCAGAGGGAGGAGGGATGTGTGTGGCAGGGCCTTCTCCTGTCTTCTCTGCCCAATCCTTAATACTCCCAAAACAGGGCCAGAGTACCCTCCTTCTTTGCCCTGGGCCCTGGTGGTTGTATAATTCCACAGGCTGTTGATTTTACATAAGGCTGCTGGGGCAGCCAAGTCTCTGCACACAACGGCCCCCACCCCTTCAATTTAGGCCTAAAACTGGAAAAAGAAAAAAAAAAGAGAATATGTTTTTATCCAGTTCCATGCCTTGCCAAAACCAAAACAAAAATCTGAGCATCCTGAACCAGGGTTGCCATAGTAACCCCCAACCATAGGGGATGGATCCAGATATCCAGATGTGAAATGATGACAGGCAGCTGGGGTGGGGTGGCATTCTTCGGAGGGCGGGAAGGATGACCATACAGTGGTTGGGTCTGGACTGGGGGGATGCCCACAGGTACTGCCCCAAGCTCACCCTGGCACATACACATGCACATACATACAGTCACACTGCACGCTCAGAGGGCACCCTTTTGAGGGTCTGGGCACCTGGGAAGTCTTGTGATGCCAAAGCATGGGTGGAAGGGAGAGAGGGGAGGGGAGGAGAACCTGGGGCTGAGAGGGGCTCTGATCCTCTGACTTCAGCAAGGACCATAGAGGACCCTCGAGCTAGAGTCAGGAAAGGATGCTTAGAGGGGTCCAGAGAGAGAGAGAGCGAGCCTAGAGGATGCAGGAAGGTGCGGGGTGGGGGGGAGGAGATGCGGGTACCTTTCCCTGTGTCATTCTGCCGGTCTCTCGGGGCGGCCGCTTGGGTCAGCACAGCCTGCCTGCGTCTCTTCCTTCCTCCGCGTGGGTTCTAGCAACGTCCACTGCAGCCGGGCCAGGCGGGCCGGAGCGTACCATCCGCGCGCAGGGGGAGCAGGGTGCGCGGGCCAGAGGATGCTGCGGAGGAGGCTGCGCCTTCGCAAGCCCTGGAGGGAGGCGCGCACCGCTCCCTCCTCTGCTCCCCCTCCTTGTACCTTCACCCCTCCCCAGGGATCGGGGCGCTGAGGTGCTGCGGGGTAGCTCAAGTGGATGGGCCCGCGGGGGAGGAAGGAGGCCCTGGCCTCCGCGACACCCGACCCGCTGATGCTGCCCCCGCCTGCCCTGCCCGTAACCAGAGCTGGGTGTCAGGGCCTCACCTCACCACCATCTCGGCAAACTCCCCCACCCCCTGCCTTGGCTCCCCTCCACGTTTGAATGTGGCCTCCGTTTTTGTCTCCAACCCCAGCTCACCTCTTCTAGTCTCTGTTTCGTCATCCGCGGCAGAGTGGGAAAGCCGTGGATGTCCTGTCCGCCCAGCTGCTTCTAACAGGGCCCTTGGGCCCTGACTTCCTACGGGCCTTGGGCAAGCCCGGTGGCCAGGTGTCCTTGCCTTGGCTTTTCTCACCTGTGAAATGGGAGCGTTAAGTCCACCGTCCCTTGTCTCACAAGGACGTGACTGGGGGGATACAGTTCTTTTGCAACCCTGTTGGGAGATTAACTCAGAAAGACTCCAGGTCTTTCTGGAGACAACTCTAGTTCTGTCTCAAAGCCTCTCCGTGGTGCTCTCCCCACTCAGTCTCCATCCCCCCATCTCCACACCCACCCCCTGGCCCAGACCACCTTCTTTTCCAGAGCTGCGCTTGGGACTCTGACATCACTGGGCATCACCAGTTTCTGCAGCTGCTGCAGTGTCACCTTGAGGTTTGCCATCTCACAACTCGGGCTCCAGTCCCAGTTTAATCTTCCACTGGCTGTGTGACCTTGGCAAGTTCCTTAACCTCTCTGAGCTATAGCATCTCCTATGAAAAGGAGGCTAAGAGTAGGGTTCTGTCCTCCCAGGTGGACTGTAAACCACACAGGCTACAGTGGCAAAAGCACCTTGAAGACCAGGAAGTGCTGCCAGTGTATGAGTTGGCATCATTAACTAAGGAATCTCCTGCTGCAGTGTCTTGGGCTGCCCCAGAGTAAGGCCTTCAAATGCAGACTGAGCCTCCTAGTGTGGAATGGGAAACCAAGACCTGTGCCATACGTGTGCAGTGCGTGTGCAGTGTGTGTGTGTGTGCAGTGTGTGTGTGTGCGCGCGCACACGCACTTTCCACCTCCAGGTCATTCTCCAGCTAGGCCCACCTAAAGACCAGTGAGAAAGCCAGGAAATGAATGAGCGGGGAGCTATGGAAATCTGTTTCCCACTCTTCTTGCGTTCATCCTCCATTCCATGGCCCATTCTTATGGCACATTTAAGCCTGGGCCTCTCTGGCCAGATGTACTCTCAGTCCCAGCATGCCAAGCCCTTCCTCCAGTAAGTGGTCTCAGGCCCCAGCACTGCTGCTTGAACTGTCTCCAGCCTTGTCTGTCCTCTCCCTCCACGTCTGGGTTTGCAAGGTGTTTTTCTGTGCCTGCTTGGTAGTTCAAGCACCACCTCCTCCAGGAAGCCTCGTTGCTTGCCCCTGCGTTGAGGTTAGATGCCCCTGTCCTGTAGTTTCAGAGCACCCTGATGTGGCACATGCTACATGGCACTGGGGAATGTTTGTCTCGTCAGACTCTAAGGATCCTGTTGGTAGCAGTTTTTGTGTTGATGGCACTGAGTACAGTGCCAGACACGTGGAACACACTCAATAAATTGTGGTTATTAATATTTCCCAGACATGTGGCATTACATGGAGTTCTGTCTGACTTTATGTAGGCTTCGACATTTTCATGTTTGTGAATCCCACCTGTTCCTTCTCTCCCCATTCATTGACTGCAGCCACAATGACCTCTTGGCTGCTTCTTTCTTTCTTTCTTTCTTTTTCTTTCTTTCTTTCTTTTTTTGGTACTAGGAATCAAACTCCGGACCTTGCGCTTGCGAGACAGGTGGCGGAACCACTGAGCTAAATCCCCAGCCCTTGGCTGCTCCTTTCTTAGCTCAGGGCTTTTGCACTGGCTTTGTCTTTGGCTTGGAACACTGCACAGCTCACTTCCTCACTGCCTTGGAACACTGCCCTGCTCAGACATGGTCTTAAGGGAAAGGACCTCTTCCTCTTGGACACAGTGGCAAGGCCACCAACATGACCTCATCCAGCAATCCAACAATCCCTTTCTCCTAATGGAGTTTTATTTTTCTAACAGCGGTTGTCACCTCTGACTGACTTTTTTGTTGTGTTCTGTCTCATTTTCTCCTCTCTCTCCATCTCCCACTAGAATATCAGCTATATGAGGAGGTAATTAGGGGGTGTTTGTCATTGGTCTATATCTGTGGGTAAAACCAGTTTCCGGCACAGATCTAACATGTTAGTAAATGTTTAGTACATTAGTAAAGTACATTATACAAAATCCTTATATTCCTCAGACACTTTGACATTGTCAATGCAGGTGACACTGACAAGCTGGAATATTGTGGAACATTCCTCTGGCATCCGGAGATGGATAATCTGGAGAAGTGGTCACAGTGCAGGCCACAGAGGTAGATACTAGCTCCTCTGCTTGAAAGCTGTATGACAAGTGAGTTCCCTTCACAAAATCTCAGTTCTGTCACCCATAAAATGGAGGGTAGTGATGGCACCAGCTCCAAAGGCCTGTAGTGAGGACTGCATGGTAATATATGCAAAGTGCTTTATGTAGCGCCCAACACAAAGTGAGCTCTGGGTGTTAGCTGTTAAGTGTTAGCTTTAAGGGTTCCACAGATGATGTTTAATGGAACAATTAGTTTCCACTCTCATCAAGCAGCTCAGTTCCACAGTTATTCAGGTGATCATTTATTCATTCGTTCACCGTGTTTGTCCTGCTGTCTCTGCGTGGCACACTCTGGCAGGAGCATTAGTGGTTAAAGGGAATCAAGGTGCAGCCTTTCTTCAAGGAGGACAGTCCACTCAGTCTCTGCCCCTGTCCTTCACTGAGCGAGAAGGGGGTGGGCAGTACTGGGGATGTGGGGTTACTAGAAGAATGAGTGCCCTCTGGGAGCTGAGCGTGGTGAAGGGCCCCACAAAAGAACTGGGAAGTTGTGGGGTCCCATCCTTGAACCCCCAACCTAGAGATGGGCTTTATTCTATTTGCATGATATTGGGAAGTAGGAGGAATTTTCAATGTTTTTGAGCAGAGTAATGACATGACATGAAACAGCCATCGTAATTTTTGTCATTATAGCCTTTTCTTAAGAAAGGAAGAAGTTTTCCTCTGTGAGCAGCATGTAGGAGGGGTTGAACGGAGAGACTGAAGGCTCAAAGGGGGAAGTGTGTAGGCTTTCTGATAGCTTCTGTGACAGAGGCTCAGAGTCCAGACTCTGGAGCTGCCTACCTGGGCCCAAGTCCTGGCCTGGGACAAGGTGCTTAATTTTTCTGTGGTTTAGTTTCCTCATCTGTACACCAAAGGTTGTGAGAAGTAAGGGATTTAGGGTTTGTACAGATCTTTGACTCAGATATCTAACAAACGCTCTGAGTGATTCCAGGGCAGAAAAGATGGAGAGAAGCAGACAGCTTGGGGCAGGATTGACAGGACTTGGGAAGGGCTGGGAGGGAAGCCAGAAGGGCTGGAGGTTTGGAAGTTAAGATCCTGTGAGACTGGTGTCGCTTTTAAAAGGGTGGAGGAGCCTGTAATCCCAAATCCCAGCTACTTCTGAGACTGACATATGAGCGTTGTGAGTTCGAGGCCAGCTGGGGCAACTTAGTGAGACCCTGTCTCAAAACAGTGTATATGTGGGGAGCTGTTGTGCTCATGTGGGTACGGTTGAGTTCAGGGTGATGGGGGCATCTAGGTGGAGATGTCAGTAGGCAGCGGACTAGAGCTTCCTGGAGCCCAGGATATTTTTAGACAAGGCCTCCTCCTGCACAGCCCCAAGAAGTGCTATGCACTGTGTTCGGTAGGTGGGCAACGTGCCATGCCCTCTCCTTCCCCAGAGCCTGAGGAGGAGACACAACCAAGTTCTTTTCTCCCTCTGAAATTCCCCCTCACCATCTTCAACAGCCGGGTCAGGGTGTGAGTGAGAAGATGGAAGAACAAAAGTCAGTATTTCTAGGGCTTTCCTGGGTGCAGAGGAGTCATGGGGCCCAGCCATTTCCTCTCTCCTCCTTTCAGGCCCCTGCCATGGAGGCCCATCCTGCCTCTGGTTCTGCTTGAGTTGCCAGCCAGCTCTGTTTGGGGCTGGTGCCAGGGAGGGAATTGGGCTGAAGGTGTGGACAGAGGCCACTTCTCATTTTACAGACGTGGAAGCATAAGGCCGAAGAGGTGGGGTGACTAACCAGAGTTACAGGATATGCCGGAGGCCAAGCCCAGGTGAGAATGCCTTGGAGCCGAGCTCTGGGACCCAAGAGAGTTTCAGGGACTGCACTTAGGCTGAGGATAGGGCAGGAGTTGGGGAGGAGTTGGTTCTCAGACTTTGGGGGGCTTAACAGTGCTATCCAGGCACACACCCTCCTCCTGATGCACAGACCACAAACCAAGCCTGCACCCATCTCTGCCCCTGCAGGTGAAGAGGAGATCAGTGTGCGGAGGTCAAGGAGGGGGCAGTGCCCAGCTTGCTCACAGCAGGCAGGTTTCTTAGAGTGGCCCAGAGAGGTGGGTGGTCCAGGTCAGCTCAAGCATTGGGCTCCTGCGACTGACTACTCTCCCGGTTACACTTGCTTTGGCCATAGCCCAGAAGTCTCAAAGCCGGTCACTCCCCGCTCCCCCCAGCCCCCTACCTCTGTTTTTTGTACAGGCTCTTCCTACCTTTCTGCCCTCGGCAGCCCTACAGCAAAGAACTGACTCTCTTGTTCTGGTCATCCATAGCCTGGTGCCCCAACCTCTCTCTCTCTCTTTTTTTTTGGTACCGGGGATCGAACTCAGGACCTTGTGCTTTCGAGGCAGGCGGCGGAACCACTGAGCTGAATCCCCAGCCCTGGCCTAACCTCTTTTTGCTGGGGTTTCCTTTGCTGCTTTTCCACCTTCCTTACCCCAGGACACACTGTGACTCCCCAGATGTCATTTCCCAAACGTAGGACATGAAGCCCAGACTTTGGCAAGCGTCAATGTTCTGAACTCTCTTCTTTGCCATTGCAGGGATTGCTAGGAAGGAGTAGAACCATGCCCCCATCCCTTCTCTTCCTTTCTGCCCCCAAGGG